AAGTCTGACAAAATATTGAAATATATTGCTAAATTCACYAACAAAGTACAAACAGTGTGGACTTCCTTACATTCTTACTTTGCTGACCACACTGAATGCGAAGAGACAACCACATGAAAAAGAATAAGCAGTGAAAGGACACTAAAAAAGTAATAAGGGATAAAGGATAAAAAAAAAATGACCACACTTGGAACAAAAAGGAGGCCAAACTAGAGATAATAACATCAGAAGGGAACAATACAATAATAACATCAAGAAAGAGAACAAGTTCACCTTTTGTTGACTATAAACATTTATAAAGCTCTACATTCAGCACACAGCAGCATAATGTTTTTGAGGTTCTTCTCATTGCAACAAGTGTTCTACCAGCCAAGGTACTGCCACTTGACAAACAAACAAACCAAAGCCTTTGGGACTTTTTGAATTCTCTTAAACGAACTTTGGCCACTTTTAAGTCACATTCAGTGCAATTTAGCTTTGATGTACATTTCCTGCTGATTTAAATTGCAGAAAAAGCAGAATGAAAAGCTAGCTTGGGTATACATTTTTGATTAAAGAGATTGTGTTGACTTCAAATTTTACAGTTTGACACTTAGTTGTGAGTGTGCAAACTGGCTATGATACAGAAGGCATTGCAATAAATAATAAATCCCACTATTTGACCAATAAAATTAAGTCACACAAGGTGATGAGATGGAAAATGTCAAATGACCTTTGATTGATCTTCTGCCCTTCATCCACACTTTGATGTATGTTTCTGGTTTCTTCTTGATGAGACATCACCATCTGAAACCATTTTGAGAAATCTTGAACAGATTTGCCATTTATGAGATTTTAGAACAAAAAGAATGAGAGACACCCATGGAGTCATGTCAAGTGAAGATGTTCAGAGTACAGATGAGCCTTTCTGCTTCTTTGTAGAAATCTGTAGTTTCAGAAAAACATATTCATGAACATGTGTAAACTGGTAAAAGATATACATCAAAGGTTCTACTGAGATTTGAACTCAGATMATTGGATTCAAAGTCCAAAGTGCTAACCATTACACCATAGAACCAAAAAAGGCATCACTTCAGAAGCATTTCAAAGCTGAGATTTTTTGTGTCTAAATGATTGTTCAGATTTTATCTCCTCTTGTTTAGGTTATAGTAATGGTATTTTTACTTGTTTAATCAAAATCTTGTTGGCCTGTCTTCAGTCTGTGCAGAAAACTGAAGCAAAGTTATTAACCAAGACCAACAGGAGAGCACATATTACTCCTGTTCTGGCCTCCCTGTGCACTTCAGGAGAAACTGTAAAGTTTTGGTCCTAACCTTTCGGGCACTTCACGGCCATGCCTCCACATAGTAAATATATTGGATCATCCTGGAACCGGAAGGTCGCCTGTTCGATACCCGGTCCAGTCGTCTCAGTTGTGTCCTTGGGCAAGACACTTCACCCGCCTTGCCTACTGATGGTGGTCAGATGGTCTGGTGGTGCCGGWGCATGGCAGCCCCCACCTCTGTCAGTGTCCCCCAATGTAGCTTACCATCATCAGTGTGTGAATGTGTGTGTGTATGGGTGAATGACTGTAGTGTAAAGCGCTTTGGGGTCTGGAAGGACTTTAAAGCACTATATAAGTTCATTACCATTCTGGAAGGACCCCACCTATTCAACTTGGCTAAGAGTCACTACCCTGACCCTGACTGGCCCACTAGACAAATAGGATTTTTGAACTGCAAACTCTTACGAATGAAAAAAAGATTTAGTGACTGTCTTGTCTCTTACGTTAGCCGAAGGTCACCCAAAGACCCCTCAGATGCCAGAGACACAGACACCTTCAGGAAGGCCTGGTTGGTGCTCCTCACACTCTTTTCAGAAGTTTTAAGCCACAAGCAGTAGTGGGGGATAACCCCTTGACCTGCAGSTTAACTCAGCACAAGCATTTTTGTGTTACTAAGTTACAGGAATAGAACTTTAAAGTACCTCATCCTACAATCAGGGAAACCCCAGGAGTCACAGATCAATTTTGTGTGTGTAGGCAAAAATTTATTAAAGGTGAACAAAAATTAAAAGTGTAGTGAGCTTAAAAAGATTACAGATTAAATTATATCCAGTATATAAAAAATCAGAGACAAAATGTGAAATGTCGCTAAGTAAATATATCCACCACTCTCTCTCCTGTTTGTGCATGTTATTTGTATGAACTGTGTGATGATTATTCATAAACATACATACTCCTCCTTTCCTACATCAATCCAAGAAACTAACTCCAGATTGCAAGGCTTGACCTTCATAGGGGAACTCTTGGCTCCTTCCTGATGAGTTACAATCACCTTTCTCTGGCCTCTTCTGCCTGCAGCCTGACTCAGGTTCTGGTTCAAACTCGGTCCAGCTCCATGATTAGCTGCAGCAGTTTGACAACAAATAGGTTTTAGCTGACATTTTTTGTTCCAGTCCACATCCTCAGCAGGCCTACAAGGGCTCATCTCTTTGTTTCTCGTGGGTGGACGAGGGCTCAATGCTTTGTTTCTTGTCCTTCGTAACTTAATACTCCTTGAGCCAGCAGCTCAAACTGATAAGGTTCAGGCCTGCTGGACTACACTAGAGATGGGATAAATGGCTCTTTGGGGATCTGGATCTTGAGGAGCTGTTTGATTCATAGATCCATTCAAAAGAGTTGCTCAATTTTGAACAAATTATGTCATAACATAGCAAAATGTGTCATTGTGTAAGGTATACGTGATGATGTTATCATCTCACATGGGTGAAACTGTGTGTTTTGTCAAGTGGAACTCTCCTACCCCTTTCCTCCTGAGCTGTTGTGCTGCTGTACTGTGCTGCTGTCCACTCTGCCTGTTTTCCAAGAAAAAGCAAAGGAGGAGTGATTGTCTCTCTAGAAGGAGAAGAAGAAAAAAATAAAGATATTATGAGGAACTAAAAATAAATTAAACTACAAATGGCTCTTTACTGTCCGCGACTAAGTTCCTATCATTCATTGTGAGGAGCCATTCAAATGCTTCGGATCGTTCAAGTACGTCAGATCTCTAGAATACACAAAGCCTCTCAACATATGGTGATGAAGGGGGTGAAAAATCCTCCACCTCAAATAACTGTTCAGTGGCGAAACTACCTCTGTGTTAACCTGGGGGTTAGTTATGCTTTCATTTGTAACTACGTTTCTGCATTTTGAGCTGTTGCTGCAATGCAGTTGCAGCGGAAGTCAAAATTCTGAAGTCGGACTGACGTCAGTCCAGTTTCCAGCTGGGCAGAACATCGGAAAAAGTGTTTCTATTTCTTGATCTGATGGAATGAGTTATTTTTTTGTGCATATGAGCTTATGTTTCTGATGTAAACATAGGATCAGAGCAAATTTTTAAACTCAACTTTCCTATTGTGTATTTCCAGCTGTCAAAGGTAGCGCAACCCCTGCGGGTTGCTGCATGACCTGTTCACCTGTTCCCCCATGTTTTGTCATGTGTGTCTTCTTGAATGGGTGTTCTTAACTGTAATTTCATTGTGCTCTGTACAATGACAATAAAGGCGTCATCATCATCATCATCATAATGTAACAACAGTAACAGTAGTGCTCTATGCTGCATTTTGAGTTTACAAATAGCAGTAAAACTTATCACCTAATAATTGCTAGTAAGTATTACAAGTATGACTGACTAAATGTAAAGTAAAAAAACAGAGCTGCTAAAACCTGTAAATGTAAGAGTTTCACTTGCTTTTAATATGAGGAGCAGCCATGTTGAAATGATGATGTCACTTGTGGTCAGGCGTAGTCCCGATGCACCAACTTCCTGACTCAAAATTACGACATTAGGGGGTGGTCCAGATAATATTTCCAACTCAGAAGTCCAAAATTCCAACCTCATGGTGCGTTCACACCGAACGCGATTTCAGCGTCAGGAGCATCAGGTTTACATGCATGCATGCGTCAAGCGTGATTAGAGCAGCATGATTTGAACAATTTGAACGAATTGAGCGTTCGACGCTCTTGATGCGCAAATCATTGAAGTTAGAAAATCTGAACTTTTGCAGCTCGACGCGCCGCGTCAACCAATCAGAGAGACTCCACTGTGTGACGTAGTGACATATTTCCCGACGGGACAGTTTACTGAATGATGTCTACTAACCTGAAACAGATGGAGAGGAGCTCTTTAGCTTAAATCGAGTGCCGGTAATTGGTGTCCTGACAGGAGATATCTGCACCAATGCGTGGCAGCGGCTCATCAGACTGGACTCGGGACAAAAATGGATCTGAAAGCGAGCTGTGAGCCTCTCCTGCAGCTCCTGGGTGATGAAACTCACCAAACTCAGAACGTCTCTGAATTATCTGGTGAATTAATTATGAATTAATTATTTGATGAGTGTGCCATGCTCTTGCYCTCTGTAAATAAAGAAAAGCCACTTCCTATATTTTGTCCGACATTAAACAGAGACAGGCAGAGGATGGAGGGGCGGGGAGGCTCTTGACGTGCAAGCGCTTCAAGAGCTGACTCACGTCTGATCTCAAAGTGCACAAGCGTCCAACTCGAAGCGTTGGATGCGATTTTGACACTGAAATCGCGTTTGGTGTGAACGCAGCAACAGAGTACAACTGGAATGCTGCATTTGCTGGACATTGATCATTGGGAGTGAGACCTGCAGTGGAGTGGGGTGTGAAGTGAAYCATTTGCATTTAAAGAGACAGGACCAAAATGAGTTGATCTGAGACACACCTCAGTACAGGGTTGAAAGAGGGGCTTGTGGAGTTACAATAAGATGGAATTCAGACCAAAGCATCACACTTCCACTTTATATAGACCCTAACTGAACGATTTAAATGTGATAAGGATTTAAAAGCATTGTATGGCTCCTATAAAAAACATCTAAAGACTTATTTTAATTTAAAGTTTTACCTTATTTTTTTCCATAATTTTTTTATATTCTTTTGTTATCTGTGAAGCACTTTGTGATTTTTGTATCTGTAGAAATTTCTATGGAAATASCTGACTTACTTCTTTTGGTAACAGGTAACAATATTTGGGGAGAGTGCAGGTGCTCAGTCAGTAGGTCTTCACCTGATGATCCAGAGCAGTGAGCYGCTCTTTAAACAAGCTGTCCTGCAGAGCCTGCCCTTTTCCATCCCATTGAAGACCAGGTAAAGAACCAAATCTTTGGCTTATCTTGAGTTGAAAATGTAATTTTAATCATAAATCTTACTTGGCAAACACGTTATTTATTCAGAAGGCTTCTTGTCTTTTGGAGCCGTTGTTGTGTTCAAACCAGCCGAGCGTGTCTCTGGCACCCTTCAAGCTGAAGTTTAATTTTAACTTTCTGCAACTTGTTCCCAGACACGATGCACTGAAGTTGGGGAAAGACTTTGCCGAGCAGACCAACTGCTCTGTGAGCGACTTCATCTGCCTGCTGTCTCTCAGTTCCCAGGCCATCCTGGCTGCACAGACAAAAACAAGTAGGATGCCACAAAGCCCCGATTTCAGAGCAACACCCATAGCTGCCCATACTGTTACATAAAGAGAGGATAGTGCATTTATCAGCAGAATATGATGAAACACTTACATTTAACCTGAGATAGAGGAAAAAAATCACTAAAACTGAACAGTAAGTCCCTGAAGGAGCAATTAAATGGATTTTTCCTCCTGATGGCAAAAAAATTAAGGTAATCTATCTATTGCTGACAGGGTTATTGATCTTTAATTCCATAATTCCATCCTGAGCAGCAGTTTTCTGACACACATTTAGGATAAAAAAATCAAAGAAAATTCCACTGTATAGAAAATGTTTTAGAGCAGGTGTCTTCAATGTTTTCCAGTCTGGGACACCCAAACTGAACAAGAGCTAAATTATTAAAAACAATATAATTAATTCATTTTTGGAAAAAAAAAGTAAATACAGTCACATACAATTTTTTAAAAAAATACAGTACAGTATGTTACGCATGCTCCATGTCCACATTCC